GGGGGGGTTGTGCCTTGGGGTGGGTGGGTGTAATTAGTTTGAGCTAATTTGGAAATTTCTTGTTTGTTTGACTGCTACTTAATTTTAGTTAGTTGAAATCATATCGGGGATTTGATGATTTTAGCTTTTGAAGGTGCTTATTTTGCATTTTGAAAAGTTCATTTCAGAGTCAGTTTTACATATACTTCGAATAATTTATTTATTCTTTAAACTGGGATTATAAATGATGCTTAAATAGTCTTGAAAATGAGTTTTGGCAACTGAGATCTTGAAACACAATGGAACTGGAGACTTCCATTTTTCTGTTGCTTTTTGGACTGTCATGCTGTTTTCAGCAATATTTCATCTATAACTATAATGGCTTTTGAGTTCACCCACACAACCCATCATAAACAATGATAGTGACCGTTTCTAAAGAAAAATGGGAAATCAATGAAAGCAATCAGAGAAAGAAACTACCTCCCAAAAAAACGATTAATTCATACTCTGCAAGGTTTTTGTTGTGGTTTTTATCTTCTCACTGTAGCCTACTGTGTCAAATATCTGGCCTTTAAACCCCCTTATAAGCTGCCAGATTGGGGAACTTCATCAGGAATGACTTTCTGAGTTGATCCATTACAAATAAATCTAGGTGGAACCTCTCCAATGCTCTTATGAGTTTTCTTTCATCCATGTAGATATGCAGGAGATGCTAGCCGGATCGACCAACAACCATACAACTATGAGGCATGGTTTAAAAAGGCGGTAGTGAGACGCGCCTTGAGGCCCGCCTCACTGTGAGGCGCATGTAGTATGCCTCGAGGCGGTATTTTTAAGGCTAAAAATATGAGGTTCACGTCTCTAAATCTGAGGCGCGCGCCTCATTTAAAATTTGAATTTTCGATTGTATGAAAAGAAATCAGAAAGAGTCCTTAAAAAAGAAAAATGCCCAGACATTTTGAGCCAAACAAAACAATAAAATACCTAGAAAGATGATGGGAGAAAATTCACGCTGAGATATTAGATTTAAAAAGGCATCTCAATATGCTAATGGCTATAGCAACATTCAATAAATGGTTGTTGCCATTGATTAACTAAATGAGTTTTGACAACATTCTTTTAATGCATGTTGCTAATGTGTTATTTTGCAACGTTCATTGTCTATTGCAAAAAGTTTACATATTTCGTGGTTTTTGCAACGTTCATTGAACGTTGTTAAATATTTCTCCTTTAGCAATGTTTGTTGCATGTTGTTAAATGTTAGCGTTGACAATGGTTAATGGTTGTTGTTGAAAGTGTATTTTGCAACGTTTAATGCCTTGCAACGTTCAATGCCCTGTACAATAAAAAACCAACCCAAATTTAATATCAATTCTACTCAACCCTGTTAATTAAAAATATTATAAAATTGTAATTTGAAAAAAATAGAAACCCTAAAATTGAAATCAAATTACCCTATGCCATTCACGCCTTTGCCTCCCCTCGTCTCCGCTCCTCGCACATGAAGCTGAAATGGCATCAAATATCCCCTCCAAATGGGTCTATGGTGAGCCCAAGAAACCCAGTAATCTATATTCCGTTCCAGATTCTTTTCTAGTTTTTTATTCTATACTATAATATCTGGTCTGATGGTTCTGATCTGTTGGGTTTAGGAGCAATGATGTATCATCAGTGGTCAATGTGCTCTGTGATTCTATGTGGTCCTGGATGCAGAAGGAGAAACTTCATTCTAAGTAAGTTATCTCCTTTTTCTAACATCTTCTATCATATGACTTCAATCCACCTCAATCACATGCATAACTCGAAGAGGAACTGATCTCCGTGTCTATCGTGTAGTTCTATGTGTAATACTCCCTTTTGTTTCGTTTTTCTATCGCTCTGTGTCTGTGATGCTGTAAGTGATTCTAGATTTGCATAATGAATTCCATATCAAGAAAAATGATGCACTATTCCCATTTGTTTTGTGGAGCAGCTAAATTACACCTTAATAACCCGCTGTTAGGACTTTTTGGCGGCCAAATGCATTGTTTGTCAATTTCTCTGCTCTATGCTTCAAGTTTGCCTTTGTTGGTGTAGAGAGGGATTAAAGAGGACCAGATCTGTCAGATTTTGCATATCAAATTCCTTGATTATCGAATTTCCCTGAGTTCTATGGGGGTTTCTTTTTCGGCAGCTCGTTGCTGTTATGCAATTGGATAGGAATGAGCTTCAGGGTAACAGAGAACTTTTGGTAGTCTTTATGTACTAATTGTTGAATATAATGCTTTCCATCATTTACTCTAATATATCTATGACAAATCCAAGTAATTTATTCTTCCTGCTTCTGATCTCAATTGTGAGAACAGGAACATTTGCCTTTTCAAATAAATCGCCATTCCTTTTTTTTTTTTTTCTTCTCCATTTGTTTTTGTTGTAATCTCGAAGTCCTCATAACACACAATTCACTCTTTATACATGCATATGTATGTATCTCTATATGTAATATCTATATCGATTTTCTCAATAAATGCCTAGTAACTGTAACGAGTTTCAGTTGAGCGATTTTTTCTCCAGTTAAAGAAATGGAATTGAGAGCTTGCATTACGGGTTTGACAGTCAACCAAACAGCACTTAAGCTGTGAAAAAAGATAATATCTTTCTATTTGAGCATTTGAATGCATAAATTAGTATAGGATTTTTTATATACGCAATAAAGTCAATGACTTTAAGGTCATCTGATTAAGTACATTTGGCTGGAAATTTGTTCATCCTCGAGTAAAATGGATTTGATACGTTCTGAGTGCAAATGAACAGAAGTGATGGCTCTCGATCTTGCTGAAGAAGAAAAGGATTCATTTAGCCAACCAAGAGTGATGAGAATAAAACTTAGTTTGTTGTTATTGTGGTTGACAGTGACTACTGAGAAGTTTGCATTTATCATTTATTTGGGAGCACAAAGCCTAAATCAGGATTCATGTAGCTTATCCAGGTTTATTGAGAATAATATATGTGTATATATATTTTTTTCAATTGCTGTTCGCTTGTTCTTAGACATGACAGAAGTTTTCATGGACAAGGGTTTACATAACATTAATTTTCCACTTTGATGTCAAAGCATGAACCTCCAGTTTTTAGCATCTGATTAGTTCTTTTGCAAGTGGGTTAATTGATGGGCTGGTATATGTGGTGGAAACAACACTGATGTTGGAGCTTAACTCTGCTGAAGTCCTTGATCCTAATAAAGGAACCTGGCATTCGGTTGCAAACATAACCTCGTGTGATGCAACGGTTATTAATGGGAGGCTTCTTGTGACAGAAGGTTGATTTTAGCCCTTCTATGTTGTACCCAGGGGACAGGTTTATGACCCGATAACAAATAATTTGGCAGATATGGCTACTGGACTGCGAGAAGGCTGGACTGGTTCATGGCATCTGTTTGTGGTTACAGAGCATGAAAGAACGAATCTGAAGATTTATGACACCGAAACTTATTCTTGGTATAGTGTAGAAGGACATCCTGTGCCAAAGCAGATATGCAAGCCCTTCAGTGTCGACTGATAATAGGATCTATGTGGTGGTAGGTCGGCACCTTCACCTTGTCGTGGGCCGCATAAGATTTTGTTTTACGTTTATTTGTCAAGACTATCTTTGCATTCATGTCTTGTATGATAGAATAGAACTAATTTATTGAACTGTTATTTAGTCTCTTTCAGTACTGTGGATGCAATTTTTATATGCTTATATACAGATTTTGTGTTATGTTTAATTAATTTTATAGTTGTAAATTATTTTCTTTTATATAAGTAATTTTCTTTTGTTTAAGAAGAGTGTAAGAGAGGATTTGTGATTATTGATTTAGTATTCATTGTTAATAATATTATTAAATATATAAATATATGATTTTATTTTTTATTTTTTATTTTTTTAAAGTTAGGTAGAAAACGGCTACCGGCAATGCATGTTGCTAAAACATTAGTGGCGAACATGCAATGGACATTGCTAAAACATTAATGACAATGTGTAATGAATGTTGTTAAAACAATAACCACAATGTACAATGAATGTTGTTAAAATATTAACTGTAACATGTAATGTAATCTTTTGTAACGTATCCGTGTACCTTACGGCAACATCGAACTCCACAACATACGCTTGAATGTTGTGAAAAGTCTTTCGCAATGACTTTTTTTGCACGTTGCAAAATACAAATTTTGTTGTATTAAAATCTAGCGAATATAAGTCTTTTTGGATGCAATCAATCTTGTAGTCTCACAGCTTGGAAAATAAATGTTTAGTGCTGAAATGAAGATGGCATTCACAAACTTGAGACAATAAATAAATATTTGGGTAAGTTCTGAGGTTCAAGTTTAGTAGAAAACGTTTCTAACGGAACTGAAAATATACTAATTACGAAGTTAGGGTTGATACAATAACTTTGGAGATGTTACACGCAAAAACCCCCCAAAGCATAAACAACATTTCTTCATGCTGAACTCTTAATCTTCTTTACGGAGAAAAAAAATTCATCAATGAAAGCATAAACAACACTTGGCAATTTTTTATATTCAAAATAAATTTTAAATCACTATACTAGATGCCAATAAAAATGTGAAATATTCATATCAATTACTTCTGAATAATTGAACCAAGGAAATCACTATACTGTTGTGAAAGATTTAAAAGACATAAGTTGAACGTGCAACCCAGCAGATGTCCATGTTTCGTCGACATTATCACAAAATGTTAAAAGATTTGAATTGCGTTGTAAATGTGCAACACACTTTTGTTTTGGTGATCTTGAAAATCATTGAAAAGTTGTGTTTGAGAAGGAAAAAAATGTGGAAAAGATATATTGAAGAAAATATCTTCGACGCACCGTGCTTATATATATATTCCTTCCCAAAGATTAAGGGCATAACAATCATAGTTAAAAAATTGTGTTCTTTGTGGTCCTCGTATCATATTAATTTAGATGGCACATACCATCCAACTCCTACCCTTTGGTTCCTCTTTCATTCAAAACCTTCCCAAACAAATAGTGACAAAAACTATTGCTAACACCGAACGAAGGTGGCGAATGCAAACTAACGATTTGAGTACAAATCAACAGTCCAGTTATTACAAGCCGAGTTCTTGGACTCATGAGTTCGTAATGTCTCTCACAAATGATAGTGGGGTAATACATTTTTTCTCCTTAACATATTCTTCATGTATACACTAGATTCATTTTTTATTTGGCGCATTTTATTTATGGTTGGTCGAATCATTTTTATTCTTACATTTCATGATACTTACAAGTATTGTCTCACTATCCACCACTTGATTTTATTCTTTTATAGTTCAAATCGATGAAATCTTAAAAATTCTTCATTTATATAGTATAAATTTAGTTTTATACTTGTTATTAATTTTTTTGTTGAAATCTTGTTATTATACTATATTATACTTATATAGTATAATATTTCTACTATAAAAAGAAAAATGATTACGGTAGAGTGTCCAAGAAGTGTCGATATCGACTCGTGTCTGACACGTGTCGGACACGGACACGGACACGCTGCCCTAATTGAAGTGTTCATGCTACAGAGCGGCAACATCTATGAACAATCAGGAAGTATTATTACTTGAGATTATACAGATTTTTCTCACTTTAAATTCACGAAGAATCACTCTCAGAAGCTCACCAAGAACCTCAATAATCAAAACTGATTATGCACCATGTGAAGGGAGAGAGAGCGAGCACATCCAGTTCAGTGTACTGGTGGACTCTCCAATATAATAATAATAAAATGTTTTGAACATGTGATTTAATTAATTTTCTTCCTAGGAATTTTATGATAACTACTATGAAAATTGAATTTATTTATTTTTATCATAAATTCATATTTCTTTGTTCGTCGCATTATTGTAGAGTATATTTCTTCTTATCCTTTCACAATAGTTGGTATGAGTTTTTTTTGTAGTTTAACTTGCTATTCGAGCATACTAAGGTTATGGATTTAAGTTTTATAAGGGTTCCGAGTGTTGGATCGTGTACACAAGAGAATAAAATACAAATAAATAAACGTAATCTTTCTTCATGATTCATTTGCACCTAGTATTTAAATGAGTTGGCCGTACATAATCAAAATGAGTAGATTCATTTGCACCTAGTATTTGTTATTATTCGACTTGGGTTAAACCTTCGAAAATAGGAGAAATTGTTTTTGTTGTTACCCTTGCACGTCATCCATCGTGAACGAACTGGAGAACATACTATCAATTTAGAGTGTGTTTGGTAGAGATTTTTGGGGGAAGAATTGATTTTTGAATAGTGATATGATGTGAAATGTGTGGTTGAAAAAGAAGAAAAAAGTATTGATGTAATGGAAAATATTATTTTATTGAAGAATGTGTGGTTGAAAATGA